GTATTGTATACAATAATATACGAAAATCTGTACAACAAAAATACAATAAAATACAATAAACGATTCGTATCACAACCGTGCTACATATAAAAGGTGTCACGGGATACGCCGGCACGCCGCTGCTTAACGGTGCATGCTGATCCGTGTGGTCTGTGTACTTAAAAGTTCCCAATGTTGAACGGCTTTATCACGTGGGTGGCCCTGAGATTACCCCCTCAGGTGACACCACTTTATCTTTAGCCATACTTCAATTTCTTGCGTTTCGCAAAAAAAGCATATGTTGTCACTGAAACGTCTAAAAAGAAAAAGTCGAATCGTCGGCAATAGTCAACTAAGACACACGCACAAGTACACTACAGCAGATACGATACGCACACAAACATACGATACCTCAAAGGAAGCTTCACGACAAAGGTCACCCGGAGACTATAACCCCCGGATCCCTAAGTGAACTTGCATTCTAAAAAGGGGGCCCACGACTGAATTTATAGCGAGTTCTTTTTTGGTGTCGGTCGCATTAGTCACAAAATTGTCGGCCCCTGTACTGTACTGTACTGTACAGTGACTGCAGATACATGACGCGCCACGGTGTGTCACTGCAATTCGAAGCTTTTCACTTACCACTCCGTAGTTTGATAGACGTGCACACCACCACCACCGCAAGCTTATATCTCACCACCCCCCTCCGTCCCCTTGTTTACGTGCGCGGGGCGACGGTTCCAGGCACTCAGACACCCACAGGCACCGCAGAGGCCCAAAACCGGGTTTTTGGCTGAAACCGGCTTTTTTGCTCGGTCAGACAAAGAGCTAAAGTCCCCTGCCTTAAACCACAATAAACGCTAAAATGTCAAAGCAAAATACTACACACGAAGTATGTGCAGAAATGCGTAAATTATGGCAGAGCACAGCCTACCCAACTGGCAGTGATCACTGCAACCGCGTGTACAGATGCACTGCTACTACCACAGATACGATATGCACACCACTATACGATACCTCAACCGCGTGTACTCATGCACTGCTACCACCACAGATACCACTATATGATACCTCAAAGGAATTCCCTTCTACGACGTTCACCCGGAGACTCTAAACCCCCGGATCCTCAAACGAACTTGCACGCTAACATTGACTGCGACAACGATACAAAAAAATGAACGGAGAACCTCTGCAACAAGAAGACGCGACGCTAACATCGACTATGCATATCGTTAGGGGGCAGCGTTATGCATAGCCATCGAACTAACAATTACCTCCATCATTTCCAAACGACAGACCCGTGGGGAGAGAGCCGCTCAAAGGCTAGAGTGAGCCGGTCCGTCCCTATCTCTTGAAACTGCATGGAAGTGCCTGCCGCTGTTTATCACCGTGAATCACGGTGCACCGCGGTCTATCAGGTCCATCCCTAGTCCCTAGAGTGTGCGGGGGTGGAACAGTCTATTCCTGGAAGCGACCAGCATGAAAAGGAAACTAGCGGGAACATCAAACCTGCCGACCGCTTAACGCAAGAAACATGATGGGAAAATGTGCAGCGTCCGCTTGATGTCTGTTGAACCGACACTAGTACGAGCGTATCCGTGTGTGCGGCCAGCTTTGGGTCACAACCCGCAGCTGATCAGCCACAGTGCGCGCCTTGCAAAATGCAGGCTGCTCGAGGAGTTCCTGTGGAACTTCCGTACTAAGTACCCAATTTTCGCTTCCAAAAGACGTGGGGGGGCCCAAGAATACATCCCTCGCCTGGAGAGATCTTGGTGTCGGTCACAAATTTTTACGAACCAGGCTTGCCAAACGTAAGCAAGTAAAGTGTACACGAAAGAACCATGCATGCCCCCCCAAACCCACCCAGTACGTATCAGCTTAAAAAGAACCCATCCGACGAAGGTCACCCGGAGACTCTAAACTTAAAATCACGGATTCTCAAGCGAGCTATAACTCTAAAACAAGCACCGAAAAAGAACTCGACCCAAATTTGGACCCATCCATCCCCGTGTCAACCACCTGCAGGTGCCGCCGACATATTACCGCGATGCGCGCACGCAGCACTTCATCAACGAGTCCATCGACCGCTGTGAGCATTTCAGGTATGTGCTCAGAAGTTGAGGCTGGACTGGATTGCAGGCATTCTTCGCCACACCGTTTCTCTATTTTACGGGAGACAGGAAGAGAGTCACGAGAAAGTATCATGAAGGAGTCTGTTCCCGTGGGCGTGACCTAAGCAACACGTACCTCTTCGGTGAGTGGGCAAATTTAACCTCTTGGGTTACGGACTGGCGGAAACCCTGGAGAATAGGTTGCTTGACCCTCTTAGGTTGTGGACTGGCGGAAACCCTGGAGAATAGGTTGCTTGACCCTCTTAGGTTGTGGACTGGCGGAAACCCGGGAGAATAGGTTGCTTGACCCTCTTAGGTTGTGGACTGGCGGAAACCCTGGAGAATAGGTTGCTTGACCCTCTTAGGTTGTGGACTGGCGGAAACCCTGGAGAATAGGTTGCTTGACCCTCTTAGGTTGTGGACTGGCGGAAACCCTGGAGAATAGGTTGCTTGACCCTCTTAGGTTGTGGACTGGCGGAAACTGGAGAATGTGCTTGACCCTCTTAGGTTGTGGACTGCGGAAACCCTGGAGAATAGGTTGCTTGACCCTCTTAGGTTGTGGACTGGCGGAAACCCTGGAGAATAGGTTGCTTGACTGAGCCGGTCCGTCCCTATCTCTTGAAACTCCATCGAAGTGCCTGCCGCTGTTTATCACAGTGAATCACGGTCCACCACGGTCTATCAGGTCTATCTCTAGTCCCTAGAGCTCGTCGAATTGCCCGGTGCTGTATTCTTCGGTCTATCACGGTCGATCAAGAGGATGGACCGACTCAGTACCGTGACCTCTTAGGTTGTGGACTGGCGGAAACCCTGTCTTAGGTTGTGGACTGGCGGAAACCCTGTCTTAGGTTGTGGACTGCCGGAAACCATGGGAAATAGGTTGCTTGACCCTCTTACGTTGTGGACTGCCGGAAACCCTGGAGAATAGGTTGCTTGACCCTCTTAGGTTGTGGACTGGCGGAAACCCTGGAGAATAGGTTGGTTGGCCGGAGGCACCCGCCCAGCTTCCGATTTCGTTGATCGTTAGCCTCAGTGGGTGAGCGAACAGGCTGACTTAGGAGGAAGCAGAATTAGCGACGATGGCCCCCCACGAGGGGCAACAGGGGGGTTTACGCAACCAGCAGGGGGGCTGGCGGAGGATGGATTCCCCCCGCCCCGCCAGCACAGGGGGCAGCCCGGTCGGCGATGTCGTGCCGAGTGGAATTTTCTCTCGATGGACCGCAAGGCGCAGCGGTCCGCATCCAGCGTCCGAATAGCTCATGTGAAGATACTCACCACAACTCTCCTTTTTACAGCCCGTGCATACGCAGTGAGCACGAATGCGCGAGGGTGACGATATTACGCACATATACCCACACCCCACTTGCTCATGTCAAGGGAACACCACCACTTGAAGCCGCGAGTATAATCCAGCAGTCACCAACCCATTAACAGGAGCTCGACCCTCATGCAGCTATCGCACCTCCGAGAATCGTGAAGGAGACGTCTTTAGCAGAGGCTTCTGAACTTGGGTTGCGCTGATGCCGTTTTCCTCCCGTTCGAGGCGAACCACACTGTACACGGCGGCGTCCGTAGCATCGGCAAACCAGACTCGCACCGCTGCCCGTGTCTGCGGACAACAACAGCCCATGGTTCATCGGGGTTTCATGTGACTAGATCTACGCGGCGGGAGATAAGAGCGCCTGCGAGCTCGATCCGCCAGCTTCTTTGCCAAAGGATTGCCTGAAGGGCCGCCGAATGATGAGTTCAGCTCCTGTTGCGAGACGGCTTGCCGGCTGCCTCAGTTTTGCTCGGATGCAGACACTCAGGTTCTCTGCGCTGGTGGCTGCGGCTTGCACGGTGCCGTGTTCTTCGCAGCCACCGCGTGCTCAGCAAGGTCGACCTCCAGCCTCAGAAGCTGGTGGCAAAAAGGATGTGCCCGAACACTCGCTGTGTGCACCCGAAAAGCGGATAGTTATTTTCTTCCCGGCTACCTATCTTGAAGAGGATGGGAAATCTTTTGTACTTGCGTCGTGATGAGGATCGATGACTGCATTTGTTCTCCTTGCATGCGAGTACCAGGGAAAGCCTGCTACACGGGAGCCAAGCTTCACGTGTTCGGCGGTACTGCAGAGCCACGGGCCTACGGGTCAAGTGGCTACCGGTTTCCCAAACTAAAGCATCAAGGCTTGGCGCACCTTGGGGCTTGGCGCTCGCGCTGAACACAAGCTCGTCGAGACGGTCAGCCACAGGGCAGAGCGGACGGGGTTGTGGCACTGTGCTGCCTCCGACTCAAGCTTTGCAAGCTGTGGTTGACCGTCACGTTCCTGGACCAGCCTTTTTCTCTTCTTCTTCTTCTTCTTCTTCTTCTTCTTCTCCTTGCATGAGGAATGCCTAGCAGGCGCAAGTCATCAGCTTGCTCTGATTACGCCCCTGCCATTTGTCCACACCGCCCGTCGTTGCTACCGATTGGCCACCAGCTTCACAAGATTTGATGTGGCATACCAACAATCTTGTCGGTTGCCAGTGTATTGTGTGTAAAAAGACGTAGACAGCGTGTTCTGGTGGTCAATCAGAGTTCCTAACTTGAAAATGACACAGGGTAAATTCAAACGGGAAAACGATCAACCGGCACGCGCAAAACGAAGCGCCTGTCTTTTTTTTAGTAGGAAAAGAAACTTGTTTCTTTGAAGACTAATAATAATCCGAACGACAGGTTTGCCGCTCCCAATCCGTCCAGAGAAACAAAGTAGCTTGCTTGCAGAGCAGGAGCGGTGGACGAGAGTGACAGACACAAGCATGGAGTGAGGATTTTATTATGGTAGCAACCGCGGTTGTCGTGATCAAAAGAAGTGACGGTTGGCAGCGTACCGTGGAAATTACCACAACAGGGGACATCACACACGCGCAAACAAAACGCCTTAGCTCCAGCTTCTGAGGCCGAACTCCGCCGTCAGAGCAAAGTTGGGGAGGGGGGAGGGAACTGTCATTCATCCATCTGTACAATAGAACGAACGCTCAACAGAAGGTGGCTGCGCGCGAGTAGAGCCGCACCACGTCTGCGAACGTTCAGAAAAGTAAGAGTAAAGCAGGAAAAAAAGAAGAAAACAAAGTACGCCCCCCCCCCCCAAGTGCTGATGCTAAGGCCCCTAAACTCGGCATCGTTGTCAGCCGGACGGCAACGAGGGGTGGGTGGGTACCCCCCCCCCACGACGCACTTGTCATGCACAATCACTTGTTATATAACAAGTGACCTAACAAGTGAAAATGTATAACAAGTGCCACTTGTTATATAACAAGTGATCACTTGTTATATAACAAGTGATTGCTTGTTATATATCAAGTGTTTGGTTGCAATTTCATAAGGAACCGGGGGTTGTACCTACCCACCCACGAGGGAAGCAGTTCAGAAAATCACGTGATCTGCAAGACACAAGGCTTTTGGCAAACAAACATGTCACATTTGTTTGTTGAAGTCCGCCTAAAAGATTGCAGCCGTGTCGTGTAAATAAACTCAGAAAAGTAAGAGACTGCTTTGCAGCACCATGCCAAACGCAGCCCCAAAACACGCATAGTGCTGAAGGGTCTTACTTGTTCTATAACAAGTAGCCTGGTTTACCGATGTACGAGAGAAAAACACGTGATCAGCAAGACGCATGTACTGAAAAACGATAGCACCGCAGAAGCAGAGCCGTGGTGGAGGACGTCGCGTCGGCTCGCTCTGACCTGTGGTCTCGGCCGCAGTTTCACGCATAGTTCAACTAGCTTTACCTCAATCTCGACCCCGGCATCAAGAGAACGTGAGAGAACCTCTGAGGGAAGCATGTTCGGCTTCTTGAACCACCTTGATGCAGGAGAAAAGAACGCATCATCAAAGAACGCATCACACAACGTGATGGTGCTTCATGTGAGAGTCTCTAAGCCTGGATGAGGAAAAGCTCGCTAAGCACAGAGGGCACTTTGTCTTTGTAAGCATATCTGAGTGATTGTACAAGACGTGTTGGCTTAACCCGCTTGTGAAAACTCGCTTCTTGCAAGCAGGGCACTCTTGTTTGCACTCACACGGTACAGCTGGACGGTGCTGCGTGTCGTAGTGTGCGTAGAGACCAAAGACCTTCTTGAAGTGCTTATTGCAGATGATGCAGCTGAAAACGGCGTCCTCATCTTCACTCTCGAGTGAGCTCTCATACCCGCTGCTACTTTCGCTTTCAGACGCAAGAGGAGCTTTCCACGGCGTGTCATTACACACACAAAGCTTAAATTCAGAGTGTGTTTCGACGCCTGGGTTGGCACAGAACTTCTGCCCCCATCGCGTCGCCCGACATACGGTAGCACCAAGGCCGACAACCTTTAAGCGCGCAATCAGGCTTCTAGTCGCTTTCTTCCAAGTGTCATCCTTTTGCGTAACGCACGTGCAAAACACTATCACGTCGTACTGGAACAAGTTAGGCACAGCGGCGACGCATTCGGAAAGCTTCGGCAAGGGCCGACGTTTCTTGTCGGGGTGAAAATGCTTCGTCTGAAGCTCCAGCACCTGCAGATCGCGCTCCATCGTTTGCTGGGAAGTCCTTCCCACCCAACGCTTGCGCTCTCCGTTCATGTGCTCGAACATTTCGTCTGACACTGCCAGCCTGTGAGCATCTTGCGGATCAAACCAGTGTTCCATGCTGTGGGCATAGGCCGACAAAGTGATGCCAGGGTTCGCCCACTCCAACAAGAAAATCAGAGCGTGATAACTTAGCAAACCGAGCAAGAAGTGTTTTGCGAAGTTGGTCGCACCCTGCGCGGAAAAGAAGCGAACCGGTATGTCTTGATACCGAAAAAAGACAAGCATATCCATCAAGCAACATATTGTGTGCTCGTTCCCTTTGGTTCGCATCAGCAGAGTGGCTAGCAGTTTGCGCGCTTGTGAACCAGTCATATTGCAGCCCACACTTCCAAGTACAGCTTGTTCCACCGCTGCCGCATGCGGAAGGGTGCGCAGGATGAGACGCATCACTACCTTGACGTCGTGCAGGCTGTGTAACATGGTTGGACAAACCGTTGGGTAATGTGACATGTGTAGCCGGCCTCGTGCATTTCTTGAATGCTGAGCCGCTCGCAACAATGCATGTGTTGTAGCCGATCTTTTATAGGCGTCGCACAAAGGCGCTCCTGTGCCCAGAGCACCCGACACCTGTGGCGCTCCTGTGCCCAGAGCTACCGACACCTGTGAACAACGACCAAAGCTCCGCGTGATCTCCGCCGATGCGAAAGAGCTGGAGGGACACAGCTTGATCGCCCACGTGAAACGTGCCTTTCTGGACTGCGGTCAGCTGGGGCAAGCACTGAAATATCCACCACTCGTGGAAAGACGCTTTTCGCTTGTCGCTGAGTGTGAGGAAGTGTGATACCGTCTCACCAGCTACGAGGCCGATTGCTAGTCGCTGTCTAGAGGTCCGGGAACGGAATGCGTTCCCTGGATTGTATCCATCCATGACCAGAAGAACTGATGGGGCCTCCGAGTCTGCCTTCACCGGAAACGTCTTCAGGAGAAAGCTGAGTGATCCCGCAACACTCCCCAAAACCTCATTGGAAAGAACCTTCCACGGTTCATCACTCTTGGCTACACTCCCCTGTGAAAGGCCCATGCAAATACCGGTGCGCTCCTTCACTAAGGTTCCCAATCGTGCGCAATCCTTCAATGACATCCCCAGCTGACCACGATTATCAGCTATCAACTGCCCAATTGCTCGAACGGTCGGTGCATCCATTTTCATAGCCATGGTTCTTTTGGGTGATCGAAAAGCAGCAACCTGTCAATTCGATTCTTCCACTTCAATGATCAGCAACATATGAAACGTGAAACGTGGACCGACATATTGAGTGTCCGCTTCAGCTTACAATTAGTGTACTACAATGGTCAACAAGCCAGAACACCAAAGACGGATACTTCCACGTTTGTCATCACACTGACCCATCGTTCAGTTTATTCAATTTCAACTTGCCCTCGTCCACGCCGGGAAACAGGGAGAAAAGCTGCCCAAGAGTTACATGTATCCCCTGCAATTGATCACCAACTTCTTGTTCGGGGCATTAAGAGGGAAAACAGAGGGGATTTGCTGCGCAAAATATTGGGTCATGATCAAAATGAATGTCGTCGTCAAAAAAGATAGGAGGTTACCGTCATCACGAAGGGCAGAAAGGAAAAAGCCTTTCGCTGACTTTTTACGTCGCTAGTTTGCAGGCTGAAAGTGCACCTCGTGATCGGATGCGTTATCGGAATTGTCGGTGTCGTCTGCACTGGCGCGGTCATCTTCGACTTGGTCTAATGACACACCCAACAATTCTGGATTGTTTCTCCAATTGCCCCGCTCGACGGTAATCACCTGGTTGGCGGTTGTAGCCAAAGGAAACTTCACCACAGGAAGCCCTCCTGACTCTGTAACCAGCATGCTTTTAGTGGTGTCAATGATGACATCTGAAGGCAGAGTGTAGCTACCCTTGTAAAGGCCTGCGGCGCCTCCTGACGATGGGCGCCGGTCTGCTGTAGGAAAGCGCAACCCCAGATGGCCTTACATTACTGTCGTGGGCAAACAGCAGGGGACCGTCGGTTCGGAGTCGTTGACATATCACTGTATTGTGATAGAAAGTGGGTGTACGGTGATTCCGGAAGCTCACCCCCCGATCCTCACTGGAAACTGCCTCGCATTCACCCTGTATCGCGAACACAACCTGCCCTTGGAGTTTGCTTTTGTAGATGCTCGTCACATCTACGTTGTCAAGGCAAATATCTTTGACGGCGGCAGCTCGCAGACGAGTGTATGGTTCACCTGCCTTTTGTGCAGGCGTGGGGCTCTTGCGGAGGTAAACCCCGCGGAAAACCATATCGGTGTTAAGGCGGATCCTCAGCGCGTAAAGCTTCGTGTCGGTTGCCTCCGCCTGATTCTTCGCATAAAGCATGCGAGAAAACTTCGCACCGATGGCCTTGCTGATCCTGCCATCGCGGCCGCCGAGCTCGAAGCCAAATAGGGTCTGCACCACAGCTTTGAAGGCCACGTGCATGACCTCGGTGTCGTCTTTCGCCACGCAGTAAACGTCGACGAAGTCGACGATCACCTGGGCCGTCTGGGCCTCGATGATGTCCGGCCCGGCGTCCCCCGACTTCTTCCTCTTTTTCTCCGGGGTCTTCGACGAGTTGTCACTGCGCTTGCTCATAATGTGGTTCTTCTGTTTCTTGTGGGAGAAGGTCCTGTAAAGTGTGATTTTTCACACGACAAGAAACTTCGACCCACAGAAGAACCCCGAATGAGCGGTTCGGGTGTCCAAATGCCAAGCGCGCTTGCAGCAACCGTTTGTTTGCCAAAACCCTAGTGTCTTGCAGATCACGTGACTTTCTCTCGTAGGTAGGTACAAACCCCAGGTTCCTTATGAAATTGCAACCAAACACTTGTTATATAACAAGTGCCACTTGTTATATAACAAGTGACCACTTGTTACATCACTTGTTAGAAATATAACTAGTTATGTCCCAAAAAAAACAGCTAACAAGTGCGTCCCCCCCCCCCCCCCCCCCCCCCCCCCCTCCTGCAGGGCCTGTGTGCAGCAGGGTGGTGACCGCTCTAAGGTGGTTTCCTCCCAAGTCCTACAGAAGTTTTAAGTTTCCATTTTTAGTACCAACAATCTTGCGGGTTGCCCTTCAATGTATTGCGCAGGCTAAAGGGACGTTGGCAGCGTGATTTTGTGGTTGATCAGAATTCCTTACCTGAATATACACAGGGCAAATACAAGTGGGAAAAACGATCAACCGGCACGCACAAACCCACCCGTTTGGAGGAAACCCCTACAAGCGTCCTATTTTAGCGATTTGGATACCACCAGCTTTGTACTTGTGGGTCTTTCCCGTCCACACCCCGGAATCTCTATCGGCTATCCTCAGTGTTGGGCATTGCAGTAGGACATTCCAGTCAGGCATTGCTGCTGTGCATTGCGGCAGCGGTTTTCGTTCAATGAGAGGAAAG